CCATCAGATTTGTGTCCCAATTCTCTGGTCAGCTGAAAAATTCTAGCAGCACAAAGGGCAGGCATCCTTATCCTCCTCCCTCTGCCTTCAACTTTCGTGTGCCTATCTTTATTCGAGCTTCTTTTGGGTGCCAGTGCCTGTTTCTTCCCTTCTTCTTTCTCTGCAACAACAATCTGAAAGTCTTTCATCTCTGCCGCCTTAATCTCGCCCATCCCGGCGCTGTTATTCAAGAAACTCGACACCTCCTGTGGCTGCTTTGAGCCCTTGGGATCCATGATTTTTACACAAGAAATTACAATAAAATAGCAAAAAAATCAGCATAAACAAAAGGGTTGTGCGTTTTTGTCTGTGTTGAAAAAGGTGACCTCAAGAAACGGAAAAAAGGGAATTCTACTGATGCCGTGATTCCGCAAGTTTTTGTCACTGTTTATGGGTAAAAAAATGAATTTGAAAGAAAGACAAGTAAAATTGTTGAAATCCCAAGACAATGAGTTAAGGATCTTTGTCGATAATTTAATAAAATCTACCTCTTTTTCACTGTTCAGAAGTTTGACTTTTGACTCTTTCTTTGATTTGACATGGTTCCCTAAGCTAAGTCTTCACTGCAACACAAAAGCGCAGCTTGATGAAACCCAGAATACGAAAATCGAACTAGACGGCTCATCTCAAGTTCTAAGTTTTCACTGCTACACAACCACGCATTCAGACTCTTAATAAAAAACACGAAAATACTTCGATACAAATCTCAAGTTTTAAGTTTTCAGAGATACAAAACCATGCGTTAAAACTTCAAATACGAAGTTCAAAATCATGGTACAACGCGAACTCGTCTAGATGGGACTGGATGCTATCTATGATTGCAAGTGAGGGACAAAAATGTGTCTGATACGAGATTGAACTCAAGTATATATGTAGGTGGATTATAGAACAACATTTGGCAGACAATAAATGGGGTCCCTTCAAACTCACTCTAGGCCCATCCTTGCAAAAGGGAAAAACAAAGAAATATTAAAGAAGCTTATAATAAATTGTACAGATAGAGATGCCCTTCTTTGAGTTGCTAATGAAGATGATTAGGGTTTGATGATGCTAATTCAGTAGGGCCCAGAGCTCCATCATATACGTTAGTTGGAAGTTTGGAGCTTACTCAATTAGACGGTATATGGATTAGAATATAATTATAAACTGGTTTAGAAGTTCAATTAAAATTGTACATTAATGTCAACTACTTTCATAATTATTAATCATTATTATCTACACATTTTTTTGTGAGATTCATTATTATTTCTATTTATAAATCAAGTGAGGCTAATTTTACTAAAAGAATGCTAGTGTTTGTCCAATCAAACGATTTTTTTTTTTTAAACAAAAACATTGAGGATAAGAGTTAAGCTAAAGTTTCATCTTCCATGCATCATTCTCTATGGAAACGCTAATCTAACCTCAGTTGAATCATATTAGATACTATAGGTTCTGTGGAGACGAGAAACTCTCATTAATTACCTGGACACAAATTCTACTTCAATGAACGAAACTCCAAAATTTCTAAACTTGGAGAAAAAATTAGATTGCAAGGAATGAAATGAACTCATCAATAAGAACCAAACTAACTTCTCCAACGAACCAAAAATTGCCCACCTCTTCCACGATATCTAATTAGGATAAATGAATTTAAGTACTATTCCGCAGAATTACCTCGAGTTCAACCAAAAATAACAAATGATTTAAAATTTACAAATATGGCCGAAACATACCGTGAAACAGAATCAACACCAAGTACTTTGTAGAATGCTCATTGCTGGACTGAACACCTTTTAAATACACTCAAAGCATGCGCAGCAAAATCAGCATCCCCGTACCTATCTTCAATGGGTCTGTCATTAACAATTGAATATGATGGTACCACATGTGGTGATAAAGCGGCATTGCCCGTATCCTTCGAACTAGACTGAGCTATATTCTTTCACACGGACCCTAAACAAATTCGAATGGTGTTGTTGTTGGGAATTTACTTAACATGCACAACGAAAAATAAATCAAATTTCAATTCCCACCACGGATCTGTTTTGTCTTTAAATAGAAACTATGGGTGTGTTTGAATCACATTGTTTTGGAAGAATGTATTTTGGAATAATAGATTGATAAAGAATGT